GGGGCTGAAATAAACAAAATGATATACTATTAAATTTGACTGTTTGTCTACCTTGATTGCCTATTTTTACACTTGAAATAATTTATTTTTTGAAAATATCGAGCATCGTATATAGTTTTAATAATGTGTGTTTTAAGTGCGTTCTTTTTTTTTATATTATATTTCGCTGACGTATTTTTGCTCGTTCTCTTTCTAGTCACATGAATAATTCTTTTTATAGTAACACAGATTGACATGAATGCACTTTATGCGATGAACTTACATTACATCGCTTATTCATCGATGCTTTTCATAGAGGTATAAATACCAACAACATTTCTACATTTTTCAGTTACATTTCAAACAAATTCTCTCGATTTATTATACACGTACTAAAATATGGCATCAACTGAAGAACACAAGAAAGAAGGTGGCTGTGGTAAAGGATGTGGAGGTCATAAATGGGGACCAAAATCAGAAGAAGAACGTCAAAAACATGAAGCTGAATTCAAACAATTTTTTGACGATGAATATCGCAAACGATACAATGATTCGACTATCTCAGCTGAACAATCATGGGAATTATTTGTAGGAATCAAAGATCAATGGCGTGCTAAGAAACGAGAACAATGGAAGGGAAAACATGAAGGCCACGAGCAAGGAAAACATGAAGGTCACGGAAAAGGTAGTGGATCACGTAGTCCTTCTCATTCACCAAGTCGTTGGGAAGAAAAACGTAAACAAATGAGAGAAGAACTACATACAGAGTTTGAAAAAGATTATACAACTGCACATGGTAATAACAAGATCAATGCTGATCAAGCATGGGCACTTATTCAACAAGTAAAAAAAAATAAACGCGAAAAATGGCAAGCTGAACGAGGAGAACATGGTCAAGGTCATGGACACGGTGGACACGGACACCATGGACATGGACACGGACATGGACGATCTTCACCACCCAAAGATCAATAAAAAATATATTCATATACTATTCAAAAAAAACTTGAAACATAATTTTAATAGTTTGAATATAATACATCCAATTTATATATAATCAAATTTTTTGTATTGAATATTTTAATGTTTTTTTTTAATAAAAGATTTCATTAGTCTATAATTTTAACAAAGTCTCAAGATATTTCGAACACTAAAGCACAATAGTATAATTCGTCTGTTTATTAAGAATGTTATCATATGTCTACTGTATATAAAATTGGTCAAGTTTGAAAACCATTTCATTATCACATGACGACTTATTTATTTGTTAATTCTATCTTTCATAAGATAGAATCGGAACAATTACAACTAATGAAAGGAACATCAAATTTTCATTTATTGATACGTGAATTAGAAGATTTTTTCGGTTTATTATTTGAATAAATCTTTCTTAACGAATTTAAATATGTTTTCGCATTTTCAAAACTGATTCTTTTTCTTTTTGTTGAATAATAATAATGAAGAAAGAATTTTTGTTTTTTATCTTGATGAAAACGTTTTTATTGTGAGTTTGAATATTCAGAAATTTCGACTTTTCATTTCTTCTTTTATTTAATAAATGTCGATGTCTATGACTATTTTCATTGTTGATGATTCACTTTAAAGTACACCTTGCAGTGGAAGAACGAGAAAAAACAAGAAGACTTTGTAGTCTTTCTAAAAGATATTCTGAACTCAGGATACTCTCTAAACTGAGTAAATTTTTATTAGTATGCCAAAAAGAGTAGCTTCTAATTACTATGGTAATTTGCTTATTTCCTTATGACATTCTTTATAACATGTTTTCAATAAATCATGAAAGTCTTAGAAGATTTTTTTTATTAATAAAATATAATTGATTTTAAACCAACTCTTTATTTAATCATCGCTTTAATTATTTTTCTTCTTAGTACTAGATCTTAATTTATTTTTTCAATTAATAAAAAACTTTTTCAGATATATTTAACAAAGAAATATCAAACGATTATCTTTTAATCGGACATGGTTCAATCTGTAGTACTAATCGTTTAAATCTTTGTTGAATATCTTTATTATTAATACAAGCAAAACCACCATGTCTGATTTTTTGATCAATTTGTCTATTCATATCACCAATACAAGTCCATGTATGATTTCGGCTAACAAGCCATTTGGAATGATCATTATGAACAGTAAAATTAAATGAAAGTTTTTCAATATTTTCTGTATAATATTCACCAGTACAATTCGAAGGTAAATTTATTTCTCCACCATTTGACCATGTTTCACTTAACATTGATGTACGAAGTGATGGTACAATAAATTCACTTAACATATCAATATTAGCTAAACCATATTTAGCAAATGTTAAAATTTCAAATGAAAATGTTTTTAATAAATGAAAGTAAGTATACGGTGGATCTGTTATATGGATTTTATCTGGAATTATACCATTAGCAAGTAAAGAATAACGTTGAGTTGCTAATAATGTTAAACTTGAAGTATATACTAATGGTCGTGTAAAGAGAAAATGTGTTGATAGTAAATCAATCGAATTATTAGATAAAGAAGCCGATGCATTGAATGTTACACATAACATTGTTTGACCATATATACGACCTTATGAAATAGAAAGACATAAATTTTATTTCCAAATATAGTTTTGTATAGATCATCATTTATCTCTATAAAAGCATGTAGCGCTCTTTTTTTTTGAAATTCTAATAGATAGCTAAAAATGAATGTTAAATTTACATGATATGATCTATTGAAAAGCTTCTTTGAAAGAAAGTTTTCTTGTTGTAGAATAAAGTATAAAGAAATCGTATGTTCAGTTGAAAATAATCATTGACTATTAATCACTTTTCAGCAAATGTGATATACAGCAGGAGATTCTATTTCAAATTCAAAATTTCTAGAACTATTAGACCGTCTACAATGATAATTGTCCGATAATACATATACTCATCTTTAATGAATCCTCTATCATATTTCGAAACAAAGATATTTGTTAAATAAAATAATATGATAAAACATTTGTAACACGAAGTCAAATAATTACCTGAATCTGGATATCCATAGCCTTGTTCAATAACTGGAGGAAAATGAGGTACACTATGAACAAGCCAAAAACCAGTTTGTGTTTTATCTCCAAAAGCTAAAACACCTTTTGAATGACCATATATAAGAGAAAATGGTTGATTTGGTGGTTGATCATTATAAAATATAAATGAATTATCTTTTGATTTATGTAATGATTCTAATGTTAAACCAGTTAACGATAAAGATGATGTAATACTTTCAGATGATAAATGCCATTGATCTAATGTTAATGAACTATCTAAATAAATATAACCAGTACCATTTACAATTAATGGATCAATCGAATGTGCAAGACGTGGTAATTTATATATAATAAACCAATTGACAGATTGATTTAAATGATTACGACATACACATCGTGAAGGTAGAAGTGAATTTTGTTGAAAAAATGGTAAATAATGAATAGTTACTATTGTACAGATTATAAAGAATACTTTGAGACATATAAAAATAATCTATTAATAAATAAAAATCTATTCATAAGAACAATAATGGATTTCTATCAAATTTACCATATTGCTTGTCGATGATTTTGTTTATAAAGAAATAAGATGGCCGCTGTCATAGCATATAAATACTCAAATTAGACACAAAAGATAACAAAATGTATCGTATCGATTTAATCGCTTTATATGACTAAAAGAAAAAAGCGTGAAAAACATTTTAGCTCACACTTATATATTGTTGATATAAGTGATGTGAATATAAATATATGTTATACATTTAATATAAATACGTCTCTCATTTCTAAAAGAAAATATAAATGACATATAAGGGTTGTTAAAGAAATATGAGATTAGGAGAAATTTGATCAAAATAAATTTTGGCAATGAAATACAAATATCTTGTCATTTTTAAGTTCATGTAATTGAAATTTACTTTTTTTAGTTTACTAATTTGAAGATTTAATTAAAGATGGTACTATAAAAATAATTATTAGTTATAGGAATACGAATCGATTATTAACAATCAAATTTAATCAATATGACTCATATTTTACATAGTTTGTATAATTCGGAAGCTAAGGGCATCTACGAATCTATGTAATAGTTATAGATGTTTCTTTCTTATATTAATATGATTACATACCTATCAAATATCTTACACAGTTAAATCAATCTTACTAATGTATTATAGCTATTGAGAGAAGTTCTTTTCATTTTCTCTTAATAAGATTGATCAAAAATATATTTGAAAATTATACAATAATATTAAAAAATTATTAATACAGGTTATTTATTATATAACACATCAATAAAATCATAATTATTTTTTTTCTGAATAGATTGATTTGTTTTCTATTTGTATGCTTGTTTATGAACAACAAAACCGTTTTTAACAACATCTCTGTGATATGTTGGTGGATCATAAGGTCGATCTTCTTCAACTTCTCGTTTTGGTTTGGGTGCACGTCCACCACGTTTTGCTCGATTTTGTGCAACGATCTCCATTAAACTTGGAGCGTTATCATCTGTTTTTCTTGGTGTTCTAGACGAATATGGTTCCGTTACTTCTATATGACGTGTATTTTTAAGACTTGGTATGGCAGGTGTTTTTGAAAAGTGAAGTGAACGACGTGACGATTTGTTAGGATCTGGTGAAGGTGATCTTGGAAGAACCAATGTACGACGAGGTACACCAGGCATTTCTGGTGTAGGTGTTCTTGGAATAATTATTTTGCGGTAAGATACACGACTTGCACGTGATGGTTGTGGCGGTGATGGTGGTGGTGATGGTAGTGGTGGAGGAGGTGGTGGAGGAGGAGGAGAGGGAGGAGGTGTCACAAGACGTTCTCTAATAATAATTTTTGTACGCCGAGGAGGTCGGGGTTTCTTAATCTGTAAATAAAAAAAATATAATATTATTATTGATTAAGTATGTATTTCATCATACTACAGGTTTTGGTTCAGGTTTTGGTGGAGGTTCTTTTATTGTAACTTGTATTTTCTCAGGTGGTGGCGGTGTTATAGCTTTATAGACATATTCCATTGTATCAATAGGTCGTGGCGGTGGTGGTGGTGGTGGCGGCGGTGGATAAATATATTGTACTTTCTGAAATGGTGGTGGTTGTGCATAAATATATTCAACTGGTGGTGGTTGTGCATAAACATATTCAACTGGTGGTGGTTGTTCATAAATATATTCAGCTGGATGCGGTGGTGGTTGTTCATAAATATATTCAGCTGGATGCGGTGGTGGTTCATACATTTCTGGAATAACATCTCTTTCTCCGTATCGTCTTGGTGGCACACTCGTGATTGGACGAGGCGTTTCCTCTGGCGCTTCTTCTATATAGTCAAATCCATCAGCCTGGTCATAATTATCATATTGTTGTTGCATTCGTTGCGAAACAACTCCCGATTGATTGCGAAATGGTTGCTCGTCAGCTATTGACATATCTTCTAACTGGTTTATATCATATTCATCACCATATTCACGTGGAACATAATAATTAACTTTATGATCTCCAAAATCTTTTGAAACAATATTATAAGATCCATTTCTTGATGTACCTACAACACCATCTGATTCATTTGGTGGCATTTCTAAATAACCATCCTGTGGCATAGATCGTGAATATTCATTTCCATATATACTTTCTTCCTGTGCATAATCATCATATGGCATATAGCTTGTTGCCATTGCAGTAGAAGATTGAAGGGTAAAAAATAAAAAAATCAATAATCAAACAATTATATAGAAGCAAAGAATGAAGAAAAAAAATCAGAAAAATTGTTGAAGTCTGTTTTTTCTCTCTTCTACAATCGAAGAATACAAAATAAGGTAGAAAAGAAAAGAAATCAATGTTATTGTCAAAGAAAAAGAAAAAAAGATCAAATGCTACCACGTTACTAAACATACAAATACGAAATCTATTGAATTATTATTATTTCAAAATTTTAAGCATTTTAACGAAATGATATTTGAAAAAAAATCTATAATATTAATTTATTTTAATGAAAATTAAATAAAAATAATTAAAAATAACAATAACAGTGAAAATTAAAATAAATGTTTTTTTTTTTCGTTGTTTTATTTTGTTTTAAACAGTTTGTTCATTGATATTATTTTCTTCATTGATATTATTGTCTTCTAATAATCTTTGTCGATTCCATTCGGCCCATTCTATCGAAGATAAATCATCGGGTTCTGTTTCGGGTTGTTTCACCCAACGTCGTCGTTGAGCAAATTCAAAGCAAGCAAAGAAAACTGCTAACATCATATAAGCAACAGTAAATTTCCAACCATCATCATCTTTTTTTATTAAAATTCCAACACTTGGAGCATTAATTAAACCAAAAAATGCAAACATTGATGCTAATGCCGACCATATAGCTGCTCGAATAAATTTTCTATCAATCATATACATAAATATAGCTGTTATAAATATACATTGAAGAAGACTTCCACCAGAGAAATTTAAAAGACCACGATATGAAAAGGCATCTATATGTGCAGTAATATTACGATCAAAATCCGTAGTATTTTCAACAAATTGTCTATAAGCACCTGAAACACCACTTACTATTGTACCTTTAGCCCAATCAGCTACAATAGGCATAAGACCAAGAAGAAATGCTGGATAATGACGTTGTGGTGTTATTACAAGTGTATCAGCACAAATGACCAAACCAATAAATATCTAAATTTATTTTTAAATATTTTCTTTTGTTAGAAAAAACAAATAAATTTTAATTTTAAATTAAATACTAACAATAATTGGATTGACTGAAACAATAGCAATAATTGATAATAGTAATGCATTAATACCAAAAAAACATAACGGTAAAAAGGCAATACCATTAGCTATTGAATAAGCTTGTTTAGCACCCATTTTTTTAAAAGCTGGATGACCAATAAATGCTAAATAATAATTATTACATTTTAATTCATTTAATAATTTTCTCAAATATTTTAGTAGGCAAATAAATATCAAAGAACAAAGCTAAAATGTCCTTGTTAAAGATAATATATTTGTTTAAAAAAATGATAAGGGTACCCTCGAGCAAAAAATAAAAAAAGAACTTTGTCATGCAAAAATCTTCAGTTTTTCTTACTTGTCATTCCAAGAATTGATCCAAAAAAACTTGCAATTAATGTTCCAATTCCATCTGCGAACATTGATTCACGAGTCGGATAAAAATCTCCAGCTCTTTTAGCTGATTCAACACATTGTATTGTTCCAATAGCAATTGATATAGCTGTTGGAATTGTTGTTGATAAATAAGGAGTTATTTCACTTATATGTGCAAACATTTCTTGAATAGGAAATACTAATGGATAAGGTTTAATAACTGCTGCTGCTGCTTTTACATCACTTCCATGATTTAATGATGTTGCCCATCCGAGAATTGTACCTACAACAAGGGCAACAAATGCAACTGGAACTGGACCAAATTTAACTAAAGTTTTAAAGAAAAAATTAAAAAATACTTTTCTTTTCTTTTTCGTTCAAAATCTACCTCCAGCAAAGTAACCAAGCATAACTATCGCAAATGGAATAAACGATACAATCGGTGATGCAGCTACTGGTAAATATTCATTCAATGCTAAATATGTAAATCCAATACCAGATATTGATGAAAGAAGTGCTACACTAGGAGTATTTCGTCGAATAAATTCTCCAACAAAACATAATACAAGAAGAATAATTCCTGTCATAAAATTGCTCGCCAATGCCACATGCCATGCTAAGTTTTGACATGAATGTGGATCATCACGACTCTTCATACAACTGGAATAAGTTGGTAATATTATACTGAAAATAAATGCAACTAAAAAAAAGATAAACAAATTTATTTTATTATTTAGAAAGAAACAATAGTTTATCTTACATGCTCCTGGCGTATTAATACCATAGGGCATTGTACATACATCACCACGATTTTCTCTATAAGCAAGTTTTCTTGCCATATATACATAATATAAATTTCCCCACAACATCGATAGTGATACACTAAATAAAAATAAAACAATATTCATTTATTTTCTATATTTTGAGAACAACAAAGTTTTTATTAAATTGATTTTTACCCAGGAACAATTTTTCCATAGATAAATGCATCGTCAAATACAATTTTAAGACCAAGAATAACAGCTAATAATGTTGCTAAATTATTCATGAATAAAGCAACAAATCCATCGATATCACCAACAACAAATAATGGAAATTTTGGATTGGGTCGAAATGCACTGATCCATTCTTGTGGATGAAATGTAAATAATGCTTTTGCTTCTTGAGTTATTGCATTAATAGTTGATTCCATCATTTCACCACAACTAACATGATTATTTGTTCGTGTTATAGGTTTCACAGTAACAGCAGATCCACCATTAAGTGAAGATAAATGTTCAGTTGGAACCATAATAATAGGAGTAGATGCTGTTATATCAGACGAAGTCATCTCAATAGTATCTATTTTTGACTATATAAAAAAAGATAGAAAAAAAGCTAATATATAATATCTTATCACTATTTATACTAAAATGTTTCTTTTATTTTCTTTCACCTTTGCTCGCAAATATTCTCATAAACATGATGATGGACAAAAAAAATTTATTTTATAAACTGTTCTTCGTACTACTAATAGTTCACAGAAAATTTAATTTTCGATTAAAATCATATGACTATATATGAAGAACGTTATGATAAATGATCTGTGATATATATATATATATATACAGAGAGCAGAATACGATAAATGTGAAAATAATAACATCTGATAACAGAAGAACAAGAACGAATGTAAATATTTTATATATAATGCAAAGACATATTCTCGTTAAATGTAAGAAGTCATTATTACAGATGTTTTTATTATTGTGTTATTGAAAGATAAAAATGATAATGACTAAAGAAAAAGAATGAATCTTTGTATATCTTTAGAAAAATTTTAATGATGTGACTTTAGTCTATTTTTATATTGAAATACAGGAAATAACATTATTAATTATTCATAAATGACTTACAGTAATTTATTATTTTCTTGTTAAAATATTTTTATAGATATTATATATTAATGAATTGAATAGAAATAATAGGAAACAGGCGTCATCTATCGAAATATCATACTTTAATACATATACATATCAGACGTTGTTAAATATATAATTTTAATAGAAATTTTTGTTTTATTATAATTTCGTAAAATAAAATATGAAATAAATTTTAATTGATTTTCTATTTGTCTAATATTTACATCAATCAATCGATTATTCATTTTTACTTAAAAAAAATTCATTAAATTAAAGAAAATACGATGAATATAATTGAAAATCCATCACCAGAATTTGAACGTCAATTTATTCTTGCTATCAATGCACGACGAAAATTAAAAGGCGTAGGTTTATTCTCATATCACTTCTAATATACATATATTTATAAATCTAGAATAAACCAAAATTTGTAATAACTTCAAATCAAGTATTATCTTCAAATGATGATTATAAAAAAAATCAAGTACTTTTAACTGTTAAAAGTATTCAAACATTATTACTTAGTTGTAATGATAAATCTCCACGGGGATATGATGCAAGGTAATTTAATTTGAATTACATTTATCACTTTTGTTTTTTTTGTAAACGATTTTTAAGTTGGTGTAAAGTTTTACGTGTTCAAAAACTTCAACAAATTCTTGTTATTGTTTTAAATGGTGTAACAGATGAAAATTATAATCAACTGAAAGATACTGAACATTTTCAGCGATGGAAAAAATTATTTACTTCGGTAAGAGATTCTTTATAAAACTGTAATGAATCATTCATATACTTTACTCGATAATAGTAGATAACTAGTTGTTTAATATAGCGTTTGCATCCAGTAACGATATTGACAACATACTACTTTACCACTATTATAATGAAAAACAATAGTTTGTTTTTCTTCTAGAGTCATGTATTTTGAAACGAAACAAATCCTGTCTATATAAAAGGTTCTATTTACTTTATACTTATCACATCTTGAGGATGGATGCATAAGTGTAGGGGAAGAATAATAAAAACGATACTCACACCTCAAGATTTTCTATTTATTTTTAATAACAAGAGAGCTCATTTATGTATTGATACTGTATCTTCAAAAACAAATGCTAACGCCAAAAAAAATCTAAACTTTAAAAATTTAATAATTTTCTTCAGGAGTTAGTTAAAAAGGTTTTGATTTGCTAGCCAATAGACTATTACGAGTATATTAAATATTATAGGATAAATGATGCGCTTGATATCGAATTGAACTTAATTGTAATTTTATTTTAGGAAAATATTTGTCATACATTTCGTTTTCATACTCAAAACAACATATCACTTCTTGAACAATTTAGTAAAATTGCAGCAAAACCACGATCTAATAATCAATCTCAAGGTTGAAATTTTTTTTCAAGAAAAAAATTTGTATTCTTAATAAATTTAAATATTTTAGATCATTCATTATTAAAAACAAAAGCAGAACAGTTAAGTAAAAGAAAACGTTCATTGAATGATGATGACGATGTTGATGATGAGAATAATAATAAAAAGAATGAAACATCAATACAAACATTTCAAAGACCTTGTGATGATCAATTTTCGCGTGTAGATTTAGTTTTAAATTTAAAACAATTAATTAGTGGAAATTATCCATGTCCAATGTATAATCAATTTAAAAATTTTAAACAAATTAAATCTTCATACAAACCAATAACATCTACAAGTAGAATATTTGCATTGGATGTTGAAACAGTTTGTTGATTAATTTATTGAAAAAATTCAATCAACTTTTTTATTTTAATAGTTTTCTGATATGATTAATAATCGACAAATTCCATATTGGATTTCTATGGTTGATGAAAAATTAAATTGTATTTATCAAACATTAATTAAACCAAATGAAAATCAATATATGAAAGACTATCAACAACGGTAAGATAATGTTTTTTATTATGTAATTTCAACAGAAAAAAACGAATTATAAATAATATTTCTTTTGATTTAGTCGTGAACAAGTTATCAGAAGTGTTCCAGATATAACTGAAAGAACTTTATCAGAAGTTCATGAAGATCTTGGTAATTTATTTGATGATGATTTAATATTAGCTGGACATAGTATTGAAAATGATCTTAAATATTTACAAATTTATTATCCATATATTATTGATACATCAATTATCTTTAATGTTAGTGGATCAAGAATAGAAAAAGCAAGTTTACAAAAACTCTATGCAATCTTTTTTGGGTAAATATTAAATAAATCAAAAATCAATTTTACTTTTAGTTTTTTTTCAATCCTAGACGTTTAATACAAAAAACTCGTCTTGAACATGATCCAACAGAAGACGCACGAGCTACAATGGAACTAATACAATTAAAACTTTGTAAAAGTATGTAAAAATGTCATTTGTATTTAGTTAAAAAATATTTTGTTGAAATAGATATTGAATTTGGTGATTGGTTTCTTGGTGGTGTTGATCAATTAAAAGTTTTAGGAAATTTTGATTCATTAGAATTAAATGAAAATTTTGAACAATGTAAAACATTTTTAGCACAAACTAAATTTGGTTTACAAGAAGATTTTTTTAAGAAAATTAAACAACAAAATAAAGGTTAGTTATTTGTAGATATTTTTATTCAATTAATTCAATTTTATATTTTAGCTTTGATTATTGAACAAACAGTGAATAAAGTAAGAACTTCTTTACCAACAACTGAAGTTGATTCAAATCGTCAAGCTTTTAAAACATGTATGAAACAAATACCAACAAATGAATTTCTTTGGCTTCAATTTTATTGTTCATCATTAAATGATGATGAACAATCACTCGTTAAAATATCAAAATATATTAAAAAGCTCTATCGATCGTTACGAGAAGATTCAATAATTATTGGAGTTTTATCTGGTCAACAAGAACATTTTGGTAGATGTTTTATTAGAATTAAAGATGAAGAAAAATATATTCCATTAATTATCGATGGAAAAGAATATCCACATGATTTAAAATTAATTAAAACAAAATGAATAAAAAGATAATATGTAACTGTTTTTCTTTTTTTTTTGTATGTCATATTTATGATAATAAAAAAAAGCCGGTTGTTGTTGCTGTTATCATCTTTTGAGAAGAAAAAAGATGAAATTATATGATAATATTTATTCTATGAGTAATACATGCTTTGTAATAAGATCGAACGATATTATGGCGTGTTTTAATAATCAATGTAAAGGGTTAGAATGACCATCTTTAGGGTTTTCGTCAGCCAGTAACTAAATGCATACATTAAATAATCGGTTCTATTTTCGCAACTTTATGTAGATCATAAAATATATCTAATTTTTCAAATTTGATTATGTCTAACTTCTCTGTCATACTTATTGTATATATGAACCAATTTATAACTTTTCTTACTATTTATTTAAACAACTGATATTTGCACGAAACCTATGCATCATACTCAATATTTTAAGCGATGATTGCAATCAGATATACTATGACATTCGTATTTTGAATAGTTTTACAGATGAATAAAAATTTTTATCTCTTATACAATAAGAATCTTTGTACATATATATATATCGTTAGTCACAATCATAAACTCGATTTATCTAGGCTAGTTTATTGTCAATTTATATTAATTTGACTCATAAATTGTGTACTTTCTGTATCAAGTTCTTTTACAATGTCAGCTTCTCCACCTGACAGAAAAGATATTAATCTTTAATTTTCTTATCAGTATTATCATAAGACAGACATAAAATACAATAAAAATCTTTTATTTCTGTTTTTTTTCCATAAGGTGATATAATGTTATGTGAAATAAGTTCTTGGTCTGGTAACAATTTCTTTCTAACATGGATGATACTCACTTTAATGGCACTTGTTGTACTTATTGTATTCTCATCATTAATTTTCTATCATTATTATGTCAAAATAACCTTTGAAAAATGGATACAAAAATCTAATC